AGAGATAGATATATAGATAGATAGATAGATAGATAGATAGATAGATAGATAGATAACAATCCTTTTTTTACGTGCTTCTATGAATATAAATTTTTAATCCATTCAAGTCCACGAAGTAATTTCTTGGTAGCTGTAGAAAATTTTTCACTGTTCGTTTCTTATTTATTAACAGCGTTCTAAATTTAAAATTGTTCTCTCCATTATGTAAGGAGGTAACTTTTTGTAAATTTAAAAAAAAAATAGATTTTTTAATTCTAATATTTAATTTCGTATTCTATGTAAAACTTTATTTATCTTTGGCGGCAATTCTCTTATATAAATAGCTTCCAGAATTATAAGTTTTTGCTTATTATTAATTTGGTGAAGTACTGATGTATGTTAGACTAATATCTGTCGAAACTCTGAATTTGGACAAGTGTGTTCCTTTAAATATTCTGCGATTGAACTCTGCTTGTTCATATGAAATGTACGCCTTCTCGTCAACCTCGTCGTTGTAAAACCAACATCTCATTTAACATTTTTATCATAGATCCAATCTCCCAAAGGACATTGAAATTGATATATAATGGCTGTCTTTTGTAAGATGCAGGTTGACTGAGGAGAATTGTTTTGGACGACTACATCCGCCAAGAATTTAATTCGTGGAATGCAAAGGATTAAAAATAAAATAAATATACATAGTACGTCTAAAATATTTAAATAAATCTGCTTGAATGAAAATATGTCCTATATATATATATATATATATATATATATATATATATATATATATATATATATATATATATATATATATATATATATATATATATATATATATATGGGGTTGGCATGTGGGTGTTTATGTATGTATACAATTCAAAAAGAAACTGACTAATTATTTGCCAAAAAACGGTTACACGAATAAAAACGATTAATTTAATTTTAAATAAGAAATACCAGATTTGTTTAGACATCATGGGTGAAAAAATTAACCTTTTCCCTACCGGGGTGTCACCAACATGGGTGTCTTCAGGCTGTAGGGAATTTCTGTAATAATTATAGCTTATGCAGGCGAAATTTTGTCCATATATATATATATATATATACTATGATTATATATACATATATATATATATATATATATATATACATATATATTAATGATTATATATATATATATTATTATATATATATATATATATATATATATATATATATATATATATATATATATATATATTTTAAGTTAAATTAAGGTTACTAAATATCCACTTAGAAATGCAGGCAGACTGAGACACATTCTCTTCGCTAAATACTAGTTAGTAAAGGTATGCATCCTCCAATCTCTCCACCAGCACTCTAAATAAAAGTACAGACTTTTTTTTTTTTTTAGCTCTAATTGACAACCAGTCTAGGGCCAGGATCTCGTTGAAATCAGAAACTTGTATATGTCAGCTGGGAACCATTCTAATGTATTTCCTCAAAACAAATATGGTGGAATACCCTTTTCCAGATATTAAACATGAGAAGGTCAGTGTGGGCCATGAACGGCTTTGTCCTGAAGTGTAATGATATTTCAGAAGAAATGTGTTCCAAAGTACGCACATGTACATACATTTATGAAATGTGTTTGATTATAGATCTGTGTGTATGTATACGGTAGTGATGGAAATTTATGGACAAAGTAAATGTTTAAAATCATTATCACAGTGATCAAATATCATAATATTAACTTTTAGATGTGTCCTCAACCGAGAACCTGTCGGCCAGACCTAAGCGTCATTGTAATTGCAGAGGGCGTAATTGCGTGGCTAGTCAAATTGTATAATGTTGCATAGTGCTTGTGGATATATATATATATGTGTGTGTGTGTAATTTATGTTGTCTAAACTTCATTTTGATAGAAGCCGTGTTTTTAATTAAACAGTATTATATATCTATTTTCTCTTTCTCTCTCTATACACACACACACACACACACACACACACACATATATATATATATATATATATATATATATATATATATATAGAGAGAGAGAGAGAGAGAGAGAGTCTCCTATGAAAGAGAAAGAGAAAGATGAAAAGTGAGAAAGATAGATACATATGTATGAAATGAATGACGTAGATATATAGATAGATATAAAAAAGACTAAGATAGATATGATAGGAAAAATAGATAAATCCATAGATATATCGATCGACTGATATATACATATACATACACACATATATATATAGCGATATATATATATATATATATATATATATATATATATATATATATATATATATATATATATACATAAATAAATAGATAGATAAGAAAAGATAGATATATATATATTAAAAGATAGATGAATGAATATGAAAATACTAATATAGATAAATATGAACAGACTGAGATAGATAGGTAGGTAGATAGACAGTCAGACAGACACACGGACATATAGATAGATAGATAGATAGATAGATAGATAGATAGATTTTACTGTTTTTAAACTACAATATTCCATGATTTCCCGCCAACGTTCATATCTGCTCGAAGCGTATCTTAACATAAAAAATGACGTCAAACACTCCGAAATGGATAAAGTTCGACAATTATTTTAAGGTATTACCTGTTTATATGTTATTTTTAGATACAAATATTTAAGTAAATGCACTGTTTATAATAAACAGTTTTAACAACATTTACCGGCATTTTAAAAACAGTAAAATCGATCTTGTTACCCAAGACGCTCCTCGGTAGCTAAACTGGTATAGCACGTCAGGCTATATGACGGCTCCGTGTAGGATACAGGTTCGATTCCTGTCGGAAGTCACATATTTTCTATGAAAATTTCTTGGACGTTCAGGCCGTTATATGTAGTCCATTTCGTAGTGTGTAATGCAAAACATGTCCCGAATTTAGATAACCTACAAAAGGTTGATAACACGTAAAAAATCAATCAAACGATTCTTATTTATAGCCTTTAGAGATTACTATTGAAAGAATCGGATAAGAAATAGAATTATGGTTGAGAAGAAACCTATATTAGGAGAATTATTTAGAATTTTAATTTCTTACCATAGAAACAACATTTGCGCTCCTAAGTCAAAAAATAGGAATATAAATCAAAATCTTGCAGGAGGTAGTGGTAGTAATAGTAGTCGAATGAGAGACGTAGATAGCAGTAAAATGGAAGTAGAAAGTTGACAATAGAACTGCGTGTGCTGAACTGCAACTGCAACTTCCTCTTTAGAACTTGTGAAGAGGAAGAATAATTCGCTATCTTTAGACTGGCAAATATGAATAGCGTTATGATACTCCGCAAGGAAAAAAAGTCCATTTTCGTTTTTCACTCTACCTATAATTTATTCTCGAATTTATTCAAGAGTATTCGGCTATTTTACAATTAAAAGAAAAATGAATTTTTAAAAACTTTGCCGTTATTTTTAAAAAAATTTTAATCATCATTTTTAATAAACTCTCTGTCTCAGTGTGGATGGAGAGATTAGAATAGCAACACATGTAACTACATGAGTTGAAAATATATGTGAAAATATACTTATTTAAAATCAGATGACAACAAAAATAAGAGAAAGTTGCTTCTTTTTTTTCGTTAAAGCATTTTTTTTTAATTTTTTTCTCCCACGGACTTAGTTACGTTGCGTATTAATTTGGCGGATTGTTCGGCGCGGAGGAATAAGGCCAGGGCGAAGCTTATTTGCATATATAAAAATAATAGTTCTATAGTAGGCAGCAGGAGAAAGAAAGGTAGATAGAGAATAGGAGAGAGAAAGATATAATGTGCGAGATAATAGATTCTTTATTCGAAAAAGAATATCGTAAATATGAAAAAAGAAAATTAAAAAATGCTAGGGTCGAACATACTTCTGTTAGTCTTTTTTCCTTTCTTTCCTTCTTTATTGCTCAGTCATTCTTGATATCTATCTATCTCTGCTTGTGCACATCTATCTATCTATCTATCTATCTATCTATCTATCTATCTATCTATCTATCTATCTATCTATCTATCTATCTATCTCTGCTTGTGCACATCTATCTATCTATCTATCTCTGCTTGTGCACATCTATCTATCTATCTATCTATCTATCTATCTATGTATCTCTGCTTGTGCACATCCATCCATCTATCTATCTCTGCTTGTGCACATCTATCTATCTATCTATCTATCTATCTATCTATCTATCTCTGCTTGTGCACATCCATCCATCCATCTATCTATCTATCTATCATGCACTATCTATCTATCTATCTATCTATCTATCTATCTATCTCTGCTTGTGCACATCCATCCATCCATCTATCTATCTATCTATCTATCTATCTATCTCTGCTTGTGCACATCCACCTATCTATCTATCTATCTATCTCGACTGTTTATTGAAAATATTCCTTGTCCTTTTGCGTATCTGGTCTGCGCGTGTGTGTAGGAGCATCGTACTCTGAGTGCATATGGACCGAATTCTATAAATATAGACCCAATTCAGTTTAAGATTGCACAAACGAATACTCGCTGAAAATCGAATTTACGAACAAATGTGTTTCCGAATAATTAACTAAACGCGGGATGGTGAAGGCTAAATGAAATACAAAGAATTTTGTATATTTTAGCTCTTCAATCAAACCAGGAGCTGTTCCACTGTGAACAACGGCCTTTCCTCAAAAACAATCAGTCTTCTCCCTATCGCTTGTAGCTCTCAATAAGTATTGTCCCTTTGCTAATCCCCACAGGTCATGTTCTGTCATCTACTCGCTTAAACCCGCCCGGTGTGTCATGAGTTGTTTTACCTTTCATTGTCCTTCCCTCTATTCAACCTGTGAGTATCAGATTCTCCAAGCCCTCTTGTCTCATTACGTGTCCCAGAAATTTCATCTGCCTCTTCCTGATGTTTAGTATAAGCCTCCTCCTTGTTTGAATCCTCTACAAAACCTTATCGTTGCTCACACGCTCGGTCCATGATATCCTTAGCATCCTTCTGTAGAACCATACCTCCGTTGCCTCAAGTCTCTTCTGCATCTTTGAGGAGACCGTCCAACATTCCCTGCCGTAAAGGAGGACAGATGCCACGAAGCAGTTCATTACACTTTTCCTTGTTACCAAAGAAATTCTCCTGTCTCGTAATACTCTGCCTAGTATCAGATTCTCCAAGGCCTCCTTTCTCATTACGTGTCCCAGAAATTCCAGCTGCATCTTCCTGATGTTTAGTATAAGCCACCTCCTTGTTTGAATCCTCTCCAAAACCTCATCGTTGCTCACACGCTTGGTCCGTGATATCCTTAGCATCCTTCTGTAGAACCATACCTCCGTTGCCTCCGTTGCCTCAAGTCTCTTCTTCATCTTTGAGGAGACCGTCCAACATTCGCTGCCGTAAAGGAGTACAGATGCCACGAAGCAGTTCAGTACTCGTTTCTCTGTTACTAAAGAAATCCTTCTGCCTCGTAATACCCTGCATAGAATCATATTCTCCAAGCCGTCCTTTCTCGTTATGTGTCTACAGAAATTTCAGCTCAGAAGCTAATATGTTGCTTTTGTTTCGTGTTAGAGTCCTTTGTATATTTACTTTTTAACATTAATGTTTTACAAAGCAAGGTTATTTAATACATGTGAAGATATAGGTGTCTTGATTCCTCTACGAAATATCTAACTAATGTAATTTCAAAATACCTTATATACATCCTTGTGCAAATTGAAACAAAACGAATAATTCCTTTATTATTTACTTTTTTAGTATTTTTCCAGTGAAACATGACCCAGTGCACATGTTAGTACTTCGTATGTCCATTCCACAAAGTCGTTCCTTGCAGATTAACCACAGATTATCGATTGGATTTAAATCAGGAGAGTTTCCGAGCCAGTGTATAGTACTTTGATTTGTTCACTGGTAAGGCTTTCCAGTGTCTTCGTGCAGCGTTACAATTTTCGTACGCTTCCTTGGAGAAACGTCCATCGCAGACAATGGCCGTAAGACAACTAATCGACAGTCGAGACAATAGTGTCTTGGCGTGATAAAAATCTGATCTAAAAATCACGGGAATTTGAGAAAAAACATTGAAACCGATTACACCCTGTCACTCTAGTGGTTCTAAAACTGACCGTATGTTGAAAAATAGGAAACTAAAGCTGTTGTTTCATTTAATTTGCACAAGGATGTATGTACGTAATGTTTTACGAAACGCGTCGTGCTAGCTTGAGATAATATTCATTTTTATTGATTTAAATGCAACAGGATATTTAACTAACTAAATAAAAATCCTAGATTACTTATTCAGAAAATATAAGCAATGCTATTGAAAAAGTAAAAAACTATGACTAACATTTTTTTAACGGTAAGGGTCGTGTTGATATTTTTTTTCGGTATTTTCAGACTTTCATGTGGATGCCGCGCTTGTGCCAAACGTGTTCAGAAAAATCTCAAGTGCCAAATGTATACAAACGTCTCATAAGATCAATGGTCAAAAATGGCTTTGATCAAGGGGGTCTTGATTAATAAGATTATCATTATTTGAACATTGTGGAATTGCAATACCGAAACGCAAACAAAGAACTGTACCAAATAACAGAAACCACATCACTTGAAGACTACCAACATCAGCAACAACTAAAATGGATAGCACGTGTAAATCAAAGAGAAAATACCCCCATGATAAGTATGTTAACGTTCCACACGACTACCAATGAATACTGGAAAGAGCGATAACAGCTACTGAACTTGAGTACTTTATTCCATTGAAAAAAATATTTTTTAAGAGAAAGATTTTTTAAAAATTTCAACCGAACGCGTTACTAACATCTCGGTCAATGAATGACTATGGTTTTCTTTTGGGGAAACTGGTTTGGTTTGGTTTGTTTTACAGCATATTAACCTATTATTTAATGCCGACAAGACTTTTATTGCTGGTAATATTTTTTATCTATCTATCTATCTATCTATCTATCTATCTATCTATCTATCTCAGTATATATTGCTTTGCTTTGGTTCGTTTTACAGCATATCTATGTCAATGGGTTATTTAATGCCAGCAATTTTTTTTTATTGCTGGTAATATTTTCTATCTATCTATCTATCTATCTATCTATCTATCTATCTATCTCATGTTGCATATTTACAGGTCCATCTACTTGTACGTATATATCTATATTTTATGTATAACTGTCTGTGTGCATACCTGTATGTACATATTCCTGTAGCATACCAGTCTTTTCGCATGTATCTATATATGTCGGTCTTTATCTATCTATCTTTGTCGGTATCTATCTATCTATCTATCTATCTATCTTTGTCGGTATCTATCTATCTATCTATCTATCTATCTATCTTTGTCGGTATCTATCTATCTATCTATCTATCTATCTATCTATCTTTGTCGGTATCTATCTATCTATCTATCTATCTATCTATCTATCTATCTATCTCAGTATATATTGCTTTGGTTTGGTTTGTTGTACAGCATATCTCTCTCAATGGGTTATTTAATGCCGACTAAAATTTTATTGCTGATAATATTTTTTAGCAAAATTGTATTGTCGGTAATATTTTTTTTCAAATAATATATTGCTGGTAATATTTTTTTACAAAGTATTTCTGGCATTGAAACCTAATTTTATACTTTTATAATATTTCAACCTCAGTTTGGGGGTTAACTATTTGCCCATAGCTGGAACCCTAACAGGTGCTACCACCCCGGGTCAGGGTGGACCTGGGAACACCAGCAATTAAGAGGTGGTTCGAAAACCTCCTAATCAGTAGCATTGCTCTTTGACGTAGATTATCGTCTTACCCAGGACGCAGATGTAGTTTATCCTCTTACCCAGGACGCTCTAGGAAAACGTCTAGTATTAATATTAGCATTACATTTGATAACTTAAAATATAGAATTGTTTCTCATATTTGACAAAAGATTTGTTTGTAAAAAAAAAAAAAAATAAATGAAAAAAATAATCAGTTAATTTATAGCACAAACTCTAGGGATCGACACGTCACGGTGTATTTGCAACGTCCGGAGCGGAAATGTATGTTTATTACATACGTGTAAATGCGTCCTCCGCAACGGAAGTATTAAAAATAGAAAAGTATTGAGCATTTCGATTTTCTTAGCATTCTTTAGATGGTTTTAATTTTAATGATTTAAAAGGCAGAGTTAATTGTATGGATTAAAAATCCTGGAACACTCAGAGAACGAATACAAAACATGACAAACTTTCTTAACAATCTGAAAGCAGAAGCAAGTTTTTTTTATCAGTAAGCAATGTCTTTTCAACAATCGATTTGCATGAATATTTACGAAAATTATCTGGTGGCAAAAGCACTAAGACAAGCAGACAAAAAGTACAAGATGCCAAACCAGCTTTAAACCTAAAGTGGCGACATAAAGTACAGTTAGTCTTGTTTTTGATTTGCAAAAACACATTTTGGCAGCAAACAAAAAAAATTTATAACAAGCGATCAATTTTGGACGTATTCTCAAAAGAAATCTGGCCTTATTCTAAAAAGAAATATCAGTGTTCTGATACAATTGCTTACTCAGAGAATAACAATATAGCTGTTTCGGTCATAAAAAAATTCAAAAGACTGAAATATTAAAAATACAATAATAATAATAATAATAATAATAATAATAATAATAATAAATGAGTGTGTGTTTGTGTGTGTTTGTATATCGTCTTTCAGGCGGCATAGTGGAGTAATTGTTAACGGCTCGGATTAAAGAATCGGAGAGCCGAGTTCGAATCCATTAGATTAACTTGCATGCTAATACCCTTGGGAAATGTATGAATCCTCTTCTTCTCCCCACATCTATGGGTAAATAGCAGGACAGACCGTGTTCTATAGCAATCAAAATTGGTCTTTGAAATAACAAGCTACTGAGGGAAAAAAGTCTGTCTGTAATAAATTATAACCATGGAATATTAGTATTTAAGTATTTATATATATATATATATATATATATATATATATATATATATATATATATATATATATATATATATATATATATATAAAGGCTCAAACACTAATATTCCATGATTATAATTTATTACATTAGAATCATAATCACAATTCAAATCATCAAAACTACAAATTCAAAGACGTTTTTTTTTTTTTTTTGACCTACAAATTAAAAAAAAATTGTAATTATAGGTCTGATGATTTGGATCGTGATTACGATTCCATATATATAAATATATATCGTGTATCGTGTTTGAGTTTTTATATATATATATATATATATATATATATATATATATATATATATATATATTAAAGACATTTTTATGTTTAACGTTCTTTTTATAGATACAAGTATTTAAGCAAATGCTCTGTTTATGATAAACAGTATTAAATAACATTTACCGGCCTGAATGTTAAGAAATTTTCATAGAAAATATGAATTTCTTTGACATTCAGGCAACGTTAAACATAAAAATGTCTTTAATAAATAAATTGTCGGACCTTGTCCATTTCTTAATATATATATATATATATATATATATATATATATATATGTGTGTGTGTGTGTGTGTGTGTGAGTGCGCGCGCGTATGTGTGTGTGTCTATGTATTTATTCATACTCTGTGTATATTCAACTCAATATATAGCATGTAATAATTTTATCACATACATGTAGTATAAATAAACACAGTGTAACTTCGGTTCTTGAACGTCTCGCATATCGAACAAATCGGTTTACGAACAGAAAATACGAGATGAAAATGCCTCGGTTATCGAACAAAATTTCGGTTCTCGAACAACATTGCCGAACCGATTTAACCCGACCGGAATAATTTCTGAGCCGACCGCCATGTTGTATACATTCGTGTGTTGTACTGTGTTTTTCTTTTACAATATTTTTTTTTTTAATTCTGACTTTTTCTCGGAATTAATTCCTATTGGGAAAATAGTTTCGGGTTACGAACGGCCTTACTGAACGAATTAAATTCATGAAGCGATGTTCTACTGTATATTTAATGGATAATTTAGGTTCACAATACTTATCGGAGGTCGACTC